GGTGACTAGTGAATGACTAGAGAGATACTAGTGAATGACCAGAGAGTGATTAGTGAATGACTAGAGAGATATAAGTGAATGACTAGAGCGTGACTAGTGAATGACTAGAGAGTGATTAGTGTATGACTAGAGAGTGACTAGTGAATGACTAGAGAGTGATTAGTGAATGACTAGAGAGTGACTAGTAAATGACTAGAGAGTGATTAGTTGGGGATTTTGGCTGAAATAAGCCAGTGTAATTATCTGAGCTTGAAGTAATCCTGCGTCTATCTTTAAACCAGACTGGTCCAGTTTTCACAGAGGCTCCACCCCTCCTCGCTCTCACCATTGTACTGTAAAAAGCTCATGGTGATTGCATGGTACACCATGCTGATAAGTCTTCAGCTGTTGTTTATTCAACTAAAACTTTACTGCACTAAGGTCTTAAACAGAACTGTTTCCTTATTGTTTATATTTTTCCTCCAATGCTCATTAGATTTGATTGCCAAATATGACGTAAGCCTAACTAAGATATTTATTGCTGACCTATTTAATTATTTAATAAAATATAAATTTACCAAATAAGGAATGTTTACAGACTGCAGGTTGGAACAGTGCTGCAAGAAGTTTCTGGGTTCGATTCCCAGCCTGGTGTCTTTCTGCATGGAGTTAGCATGTTCTCCCTAAGCATGTGTGGGTTCTCTTCAGGTACTCCAGCTTCCTCCCACAGTCCATGAGTGTCTTACAATTGTCCTCATGTGTGAGTGGCGCATGGTTGTATGTCTCTATGTGATGGACAATCTGTCTAGGACGGACTTCGCCTTTCGCTCACAGTATTGCATTGTTTGATTGATTATGGCTTCCAACCATTTTCATTCCTTTTCCTATAGTTTAGTAGTTTCACTGTTTTGATCAAGAGTTTTAGACTGAAATAGGTTTGACTTACAGTTGAATTAATGTATTACATTTTTAATGGAAGCTGTAATGAATTTATTCCTTATGTGTGCAAAGTTAAATGTCTGACAATTATTTCAGTTTGATCCACCCTTTCATTTGCAGTCATAACCCAGGCAGTCAGGTGGGCTTTCACCCAGATAACATGTAACCCCCTAGGATGGAACTGAATCCTTTGAAACCCACAGCCTCCTGGGTTTCAAAGGATTCCTTCCTGAAATCCATAAAGACTGTGGATTCCTCTGTGTATTTTTCTGCATTTACCGTGGTTAGTCNACTAGTGAATGACCAGAGAGTGATTAGTGAATGACTAGAGAGATATAAGTGAATGACTAGAGCGTGACTAGTGAATGACTAGAGAGTGATTAGTGTATGACTAGAGAGTGACTAGTGAATGACTAGAGAGTGATTAGTGAATGACTAGAGAGTGACTAGTAAATGACTAGAGAGTGATTAGTTGGGGATTTTGGCTGAAATAAGCCAGTGTAATTATCTGAGCTTGAAGTAATCCTGCGTCTATCTTTAAACCAGACTGGTCCAGTTTTCACAGAGGCTCCACCCCTCCTCGCTCTCACCATTGTACTGTAAAAAGCTCATGGTGATTGCATGGTACACCATGCTGATAAGTCTTCAGCTGTTGTTTATTCAACTAAAACTTTACTGCACTAAGGTCTTAAACAGAACTGTTTCCTTATTGTTTATATTTTTCCTCCAATGCTCATTAGATTTGATTGCCAAATATGACGTAAGCCTCGTTTGTAAATGAGTCTTCCTGGGTCTGCTAGCTACCATCTCAATTATATTCATAAGACAAACCAAGTTAAAGAAGCTCTTTACTCTAACTATCCCCCCGGGAAAAATTACAGACAGTTTATAATCAATTAACTAAGATATTTATTGCTGACCTATTTAATTATTTAATAAAATATAAATTTACCAAATAAGGAATGTTTACAGACTGCAGGGTGGAACAGTGCTGCAAAGCACAGCTGCTTTGCAGCAAGAAGTTTCTGGGTTCGATTCCCAGCCTGTTGCCTTTCTGCATGGAGTTAGCATGTTCTCCCTAAGCATGTGTGGGTTCTCTTCAGGTACTCCAGCTTCCTCCCACAGTCCATGAGTGTCTTACAATTGTCCTCATGTGTGAGTGGCGCATGGTTGTATGTCTCTATGTGATGGACAATCTGTCTAGGACGGACTTCGCCTTTCGCTCACAGTATTGCATTGTTTGATTGATTATGGCTTCCAACCATTTTCATTCCTTTTCCTATAGTTTAGTAGTTTCACTGTTTTGATCAAGAGTTTTAGACTGAAATAGGTTTGACTTACAGTTGAATTAATGTATTACATTTTTAATGGAAGCTGTAATGAATTTATTCCTTATGTGTGCAAAGTTAAATGTCTGACAATTATTTCAGTTTGATCCACCCTTTCATTTGCAGTCATAACCCAGGCAGTCAGGTGGGCTTTCACCCAGATAACATGTAACCCCCTAGGATGGAACTGAATCCTTTGAAACCCACAGCCTCCTGGGTTTCAAAGGATTCCTTCCTGAAATCCATAAAGACTGTGGATTCCTCTGTGTATTTTTCTGCATTTACCGTGGTTAGTCTGTGACTGTCTGCTGGACATGTGTTCATCCAGATGGTGCAGCAATAACATCGATATTACATTAAAAATGCTTTTATAAAAGGCTGTTTGGTAACATTCTGATATACTGAGACATTATTTTTTTATATGTTTGACATTTTACATCACAATCATCAACCGAACTAGAAAATCTCCCTTTATGTCTGATAAATGTCCATAAAATATAGTTTTCTCATAAGAAAGCAAGACTTAAAACCTTTTCCACTTTTTCTACTTTTCTAGGATGTTGTTATTTTTTGAAATTATGATATGAAGTAACATTAAACCAGAACACAAAGTAGTTTTGCATTTTTTGAGCCAGTTTCCTCTGTTTAGTCTAGCTTATTCTTTCAGAAATGTTTCATAAAATCATGTCAACACTTCAACATGAACAATTATCACACAACATCTAGTTCACACCTTATTCTATATATTAGGATCTAGTTTACAAGACATTAATTATGATACAGATTTTGCTAAATCTAAACAGTTTACTGCAAATATGAATCCAACTTTTTTCTTTTGTAATAAAAAGATAAAACATATAAATTAAGTGAATACAGATTACAAAAAGTCAGTAAAATAAATCATTATTTTTCTTCAGATGTCACCAAGTCTTCCTACCTGTTCCTCTGATGAGTGATTAGTGAAGATCTGTGGAGTCTTGCTTAACTCTTCTACATTTGATTATTTGTCGATTCATGTTTTAAGGGGAAGTGGTTTCTTGGTGGTGATGGGTCTCTGTCTCATGGACTTCTTGGCGTGGTCTCTGGGTTTACAAAGTAGTCTATATTACAGTAATTCATTTCACTTTATTTCTTTAGCACCAGTTCAGATCACACGTCTAGTAAAGGAACTTTCCAGAGATAATTCAGTCAGACTGGTTAAACGTTTC